AAGTTAGTGAAGCCCCACTGCAGAAATGCTACTTTGTAGGACCGCTTTTTTCTGGAAGACGTATTCCCTGCAAACAATTAAGTAGGTAGATGTTATAGATATACATCATTTATAGAAATTAATCTCGTTATTCCATGCAGGTGACATTATCGCAAACGTTCGCAAACAAACATATTTTTGTCGGCATCAAAGCCATTGAATGAAAATGCTCACCTGCCATGACTTCTCGTCAAAAACAACTGCTCATGAAAGTGATCAACATAACACCTAATGGTCACTGGCGTCCAATCTGCTGATTCTATGTTGCTTGTGACCCCAATTGCATCGTTTCTCTGCCCTTTCAAACGCCTACCGTTATCCCGATTCAGGCCCTCTCTTGACCCCATCGTGTCTGATTCCTAATCAAACATGAACATGTGTTTCATTCCTCCGTTCCACGTTATTCCTCGACATTTTCCCGACACCATTCTGTATCCATACCTTGTGAACACTAATCACCCTTTCTCGCCGTTCCTACTGTCAAACATTCACCTGTGAACATAACTGGTACTTTGACCAGTGCTGAAACGATAGTTTGCTATCCACCCCGTTATTCGACCCGGTGAACGACTGGCTTATTCGAAAACACGGCAGCAGTTGTGGCAGTCGACAAAGGCGCCATGCCGTAGTAGCTGCATTGACTGATGGCTAACTAAAAATGCTGAGCTAGTTGCGATGTGTGATTTCGTTATTAAGCTTATTTCGCGACTGATTTGTGACCAAATCCAATTATCGGTATTTACCCCTCGGAAAATGCCATTTTACCCCCTTGGGGGTAATTACCCCCAGGTTGGGAAACCCTGGCCTACAGTAAATCTCGCGGAAACCTGACTGACTCAGTTTGTTATGCGCAAAACACATGCTGCTGTGCAATTCGGAGCAGCTGACGGAACCAATTCCTCATCGTGACGCGGATTTGTATGGCGCGAAAGTGAACCTAGCTGCAGCCAGACAGTGAGGACCGGTAGCATGTGACATCGATCAGCCCAGCACGAATCGGTAGCGCGTGTGACTTATAAAAGTAACCATGCTCTATCGGTAATACAGACCGGTCTAGCAGGTCTCATCTTCTGTTTTTTCCCCGGCTGAGATGGCGGGACCCCAGACAGAGAGCAAAGCAGAGTTACAAGAAAAACCGTGCACACAACGCTAAGTCAGACGGCCGAACCTAAATCTCGATCTTGTGCTTCAATGGTAATCCATTTTCTGTTACTCATGGTTCGCCTGGCTTGACGATGCACCGTACATGTGTCAATACATACACAATTATATGTATTAGTCACGGCTTTACCTTCATTTAATATTGTCTCTTTCTCCTCAGATTGCTTCCATCCAATAGCTGTATTTTCACAATGCCAAGTCTATCTTGCAGCTCACACATTCAGATGGAAATTGAAAAGGTGAGGCAAACTGACTTTCTGGTCGTTATTTCTTCTTATGTTCTATATGATTATAATTGTTTGTCAAAAAAGAACGCTGTTAACAAGAACGAAAATCCAGAAGCAAATACGTCCCTGGGACACATTCGTTTCGGCTTCCTGATTGGCTTACGCTTCCAACAGATAGACGAACTAACACTCTCCGCCATTTAAACACTTCAGTTAATACGCGGTTGGCTTCCTTGGACATCGAAGTCGCTTACGAGGCACTGTTAACCAGGTCCCTGAAGTCATGCTGATGATGTTGCCTTGTCAGGCAACGAAACGTCTGCAGAATAATCATTCAGCTAGAAGAACAGCTCGAAATCTGCATAATAATGCGTATTTTCATTTCTATCCCTATCAACATTCCTGCCTAAATCCACTAGAGCACATCATGCGGTCTTCGGTGATAAAGGGAAAACATGGAGGGTGAACCAAATTTCTGTTGTTGAATGAGAAGAGATGGCACTGATTTCAAACCAAATGAGCGAGCACGGAAATCGAAAACCAAGTCGTCGAGAGATGTCAGATGATGATTTCTCGAGCTGCTGAATATGTAGATTATGGTCCATAGCAGGACAGTTCAACACTTTCTATTAAATGTTTAGGTCCACGAGAATGTTTATTATGTAAATTCTGACCTGTACGCCCCATGGGTGCAGTCGTGTGTTAAACTGAGCAAAGGTAATATTTAGCGGACCGCGGGTAAATCAAATCACTATAATCTGCTTCCGCATGATAATAACAACGGTGGGGAAAGTGAAGCAGAACAGAAACCAAAAAAGAAAGGTTATAAAAAAAGCGGTGAGTAAAATTAAGCGGAATGAAATGTCAAAAGCTGGATGTAAGTGAGCGAATGAACGAGCGTGATTGCATCCGTGACTGAGCCATATCGAATAAGGTCTCTAATCCTCGATGTAGCTGACCCGGAGCTTTCATCTACGAAGATAGCTAACTTCTTTGGTCAAGCACATCATGTTTCCACTGTCATTGAACTGCTACGCCGTGGTAACATCTAAATAGATGTAGTGACAGCATCTCGAGGTAGGTAGTTAATAGGTGTACGAGAAGTATGATCTAGTCAACGGAAGAGGTGCCAGTGAGGTTTTTGGAAACATCAACCGCTAGACCTCAGCATTAGCCAACCGATACTACCAATAATGGCGCGAGAGTCATCGTGGGTGCAGTTCATCAAGGATTAGTCATTCCTTAATTTCATTAAGAGATTAGTTCAGCTTAGACAAGTTGAATAATTATGATCCAGGTACCAAAATTCGGCGGATCCAGTTGCCACGACTCACATCACTAGAATGACAGTAAGTAACAACGGCCACAAAATGAGGTTAAATGCAACTGGAGTAGAAAGAAAATGGAATCAGGACAGAATTGCACAGAACTAATCCTGAGGAAAAATTAAAGGCTGGATGCAAGAAAGCGAAGGCAGGTATGCCACTGCTGCGCAACTGTGCTATGTCTGATGGAGTCTTCAAGCACTAATGTGGACCATCCCAAGGACCTTAAGGACGAAGACAGCACACACTAGACTGACAAAGCCTCCGACAATTTCTTCATGCCCTCATGCCACGTCATTGAGTGATCACCTCGTGGTTTCGTCTAACTTGGTGCAGCGACGAGTCTGAAAGCAGATGGTGCTCTCTGGCTGCTCATTCCAAGGCGTTTTGTCCTAGGTCCCCTAACTCTAGCTCTTGACACGATAGTTTGACCAACAGAGAAGTAGGGTACACGGAGATCGCTTGAAGAACTCAACTCGGAAGCTTTGGTTTAATAGCCTGACCCACAAGGCACCGAGGAGTTAGTACAGTTCGGGAGTGTGATTGTAGAGACCCACTGGGATCAGCTAGAGGCCTGCCAAACACAGCCTTTAAAGACTTAAAAGGATTCGACATGTCACGCAACTTCGGCCACGGCTAGCCGCATATGGGAGTTGGCGGGTTTACACCAAGATGACAAAGGGTTGCCTGGCTTGAGGCAAACGATAGTAAACCATTCAAGCAACGTTAGACTGTGTGTGGCACTTGTGCTCTATGACAATCGTGCTGTGAGCTTATAACCTGTAAAGTTGTTGTCTTACATGACTTGGTTCAAAGGGAAGAGGGTCATTAACCTCGCTTTAAACTCCGGAGAGGATTGTGAGAAAGAGTTAGTCTAGCCCCTAGCCAATGACATGTGTGGTATGAGTAACTCTGAAGGCATTTGGAAAGTGCCACCCAGCGTAGCTCAATGAGTCACGGAAGTAAGCAAAGCATCGCATCACGTTAAGGTCTATTCTAATCGCGATGGAATTTCTTCAACGCGAACAGCATAGTAGTCACTCAGACTTACAATCAGACATGCTCAACGCCTTGATAATTCTAATGACCTAAAACAAACGTGCATCAAATAGCCTCAATGCGCAGTAGTCAAGTCGCCAAAACATAGCGCTATATCGCCCATACTTCAGTACTGCGCACGATACTCTTGGTTATTAAATTATAATTTCAATATTTAAATAAACAATTAAGGTTTTGAAGAACCACATGGATCGGAAGAAATGCAAGTTAACCCCGGGTGATCTAAGTATCTAAGATTGTAAACGCGTCCGGACAAACAATCGCCAGGAGTAAGTTGGTGGTGATAGCGGTGTCAACAGTGCAGCAGCGTTTCGCACGGACATTTCCCTACCATGCAATAATCGCAAGCGGTTTGTACGCGTGCTGGGATGATACCGTGGGGGCGTCCAAATCTAGTTAGGAGAGAGGACACGAAACCTGGGTGGACAGGTTGAAAACCAGATGCAAAAATCACTACACTATGGATCATGCCAAGCAGTTGATCAACAATCGTGACGCGGCAACGAGCCGCTGCATCGATAGCATGGACTTGAAGATGTGAAGTATATGCAGAAACATGCAGCACCTGGTGTCACTATGCTACAATATGCTGTACAGGGGCTAGGTTCGATCTCAAAAGTGTTGTACTGTTCGCACGTTGTAGGTTAATCAGTCGATCGTGTGGCGGCAATTCGACCGCAGAGTAAGCGGTTAACATAGAGTACTCCTTGATACCTTCTACCAAAAAAGGGAGAGTAGCCCTGACGAAATTGTCGTGTAAAATCCAACGTGGACAGAGCTTAGAATATTACAAAATCCAAGGAAACTAAGCACGGAAATATCAGAATAGAGGATAGCGTCTTTGGCAAGCGGTTCGTCGATAGGTAAAATCGCGAGCAGGATGAAACAACAGGAGCAAAGCCTCTAAAGTAAATAAATAGAGATACAGCATGTATGACACCGGAGAGGTTGTATCACCTATCATCAAGGCCAGTGTGTCATAGCAATGTCTTAATAATTAGTAAAATAGGTGGGATCTTGGTCCGCAGGTCAAAGACAGAGTTTACAACGCTGCGATATGACTAATACAATTGTGTGGATCAGCAACATGGCCAATTCGCACCGAGAACAACGGCTATCGTTGATTACTGGTGTTCGTTGAGTAATATTCATTTTCGGTGAGTGACAAGTGGTTAAGGTTGAAACCCACCTGGTTAATGCTGTTACGAGTACCGAGGACTGATGATATGCTTGATTCCGCCTTGAAAAACACAGAAAGCGAAGGCCACAGTGCAACGTGCATTGATACAAGAGAGAGCGAAAGTAGAAGGAAACACACCAAAACCATTGGTTTACAGTCGAATACATATGTGGTTAAATAGGACCGCGGAGGCACGAGTGGTGTGGGTTTTTGTGTGAAACACGCGACAGGAACAAAATGTACCACAGCACAAAAACAGTGTTCGGATTGTGGACACGAATTGTTCCGACATAGAACATGGTTTTGTCTTGTAGAATAACACGCTTTTTTAAACAACACTATGTTCCACTTTTGTGCACAGTTACAAAAAGTTGCTGGTACTACTCTGGCACCAGCCAAGTTATACTTCCTGGACATTTCGCCACTTGTGTTCGTTATGACACTACATCTTCCTCCCACAAAAGAAATGTTAGTCGTACGAACGCTTGTGTGGGTCTACCTGTAGACGCGTAGTTGGCCTCCGGATCCGATCAGTACGCCTTTGCTGCAGGTTCGCTTCTCCCGGAACTGTTGCGCACTCGTCGTCAGACACGCGTGGGGTTCTAGGGTGTAGATTGAAACTATTTAAGAGAAGAGCAAACGGTAGGAATGGATTATATGTGGTTTCTGGAATACTAGTGGGTCTCAACTGATTTGCGTGTCTAGTCCAGATAAAATCACCTACCATGATTTTGTAGATCACCCTTCTTATTTGGTTCTGAATCGTACCAGTTGTCCATAGCGGCTTACCCATGCGATAATCTCTGACCAAGACCTTCTGTCCTGCGTGAAAATGACGTTCCTGTGTTCTATTTCTTTGATTATAGTACCTCTCCATTCTCACATCTCTCTCCTGTGGAATAGTGTTCCTCGGTAGCAGCAGCGAGTTAACCGTGCGAATTTTTCTTCCCATGAGAGCCTCTGCGGGTGACAGGTTGTTTGGCACTTGACGGTTTGGGGCTGATCTGTACATGAGCAGGAAAATATCCAGTATTTCCTGGATGGTTCCCTCTTCTCGCATCTTTAGTTGTGTACGCTTGAAGGTATCAACATAACGTCCCGCTTGTCCATTTGATTGGGGATGGAACTGAGGTATGCGCGAATGTGTAATACCAACGTGCGAGCAGTATTCGGCAAACTGGTAAGAAGTAAATTGCGAACCATTGTCGGTGACTAGAATCTCCGGTATTCCGTGCTGGCTGAAAAGTGTTCGCAATACTTTGATGGTTGCACCACTGGTTGCATGTTCCATCCGGAAAACCTTAGGCCATTTACTGTAAGAATCCACAACGATGAGGAATTGCTGTCCATTGACAGGACCAAAGAAATCAGCATGTATGCGTTTCCAGGGTTTTGTCGCCAAAGTCATAGCCGGGTAAGGTGGTAGGCCAATGTTGCAGCCTGTTCGCTGTATAGACGGGCATGCCTGACTTTGATCCGAATATTGCTAGCAGCGGTTTATGATCAGTAAGAAGAGGGAATTTTCTACCGTACAGCATTTTATGGAATTTCTTTACCGCAAAGACTATCGCCAGGGTCTCCTTCTCTATCTGACCGTAATTTCGTTCTGCTGGGGTTAACGACCTGGCTGCATGTGCAATAGCTTTTTCCGAGCCGTCTGCATACTTATGAGAAATAACGGCTCCAACACCATAGTTCGAAGCATCTGCAGCTAGTACAATTTTCTGGGTTGGGTCGTAGTGTGTTAACAAAAGGTCAGAACACAACCTTCTTTTACATCTTCGAATGATTTCTGGCATTCTTCAGACCAGTACCAACGTTTATCTTTGGCCAGAAGTTCGTTAAGTGGACCACGCAGACGGTGCATTTGCGGGAGAAATTGACTATAATGACTGATGAGGCCTAAGAATGATCTCAGTGTCGAAACATCTTTAGGATGGGGCATTTTCTTAATAGCTTCAATGTTCGCTGGGTCGGGGCGTCTACCGTCTTTGTCAATAATGAACCCAAGGAACGTAATCGAGTCCATAAAAAATGTGCATTTTTCAGGATGGAGTCTAAAACCATACTCGTGAATACGACCAAGGACTCGATCCAACTTTTTGAAAAGGTCATCTACGCTCATTCCAACAACAATAATGTCGTCCAAGTATGCGGCAGCACCATCGATATCGGTTAACATGGTGTCCAGGATATGTTGAAATATGGCTGGCGCAGTTTTGACACCGAATGGAAGCCGATAATATTGATACAGGTCTCTATTCGTGTTTATTGTAAGCAATTCTCTAGTGGCTTCATCAACATCAATTTGAAGATATGCATCTGATAGATATAGCTTTGCAAAACATTTACCGAGTTTTAGTTTAGCAAACATGTCGTCGGGAAGTGGTAAGGGATACTGGTGGCTGTTCAATGATGCATTCAAACCTGTCGAGAAGTCAGTGCATATCCTAATTTGTCCATTAAGTTTCTTAACCATCACAATCGGGGCTGCCCAGGAAGAGTAATTAACTGCATGAATAACACCAGTTCTCTCTAATCGATCCAGTTCTTGATCAACAACAGGAATTACGGCATAAAGCAGTGATTGACTAGTACGAAATACCGGGACAGCATTAGGTTTTAGAGACAACAAAGCAATAACTTTTGTCAGAAAAAAAAACAGCTCGGTATTTCTCCTTAAGGCGTTCAATTGCCACTGTTTTCGGGGATTTTGGATTGTGCAGTTTGACGCTCGCGCAAATTTGATTTATCGGGACGTCCAGAAGGTTGAAACGTTCAATCCAATCCAGCCCAAAGAGATTCAAATTGTTGTGGCTTGTGACAAAAATTGTTCCCATGCAGTAAAATCGGCAAAACGACACTCACATTCAATTTGACCAAGCAGCTTCAATTCCGCACCTGATGCGTTTTTCGCTTGTTGAGTAGTCGATTTGATGTCAGGCGACCCGACACTTCTCCACAGCGTCTCCGAAATGACTGTGATGTCAGAGGCCGTGTCGATCTGTAATCTCGCTTGTCTGCCATTGATATCGATAATGATGTATTTCCTTCTATCCTTAATATGTTTGGAAAAGTTGGCATTTACTCTCTTTGGGAAGGGACCGTAAGTCTTCTTTCGAGTAGTATGTACTGGTCTGGGCGGATATCTGTATCGGTAGTGCGTTTCCTTGTGTTCACAATTGTGACATTTCTCACAGACATGCTTACTGTAGAGGGGCACAATTTTACAAAATGCCAACCACCACAAAGCCAACAAGCGGAAAGGGGTCTACGTGGATGGAATTCCTTGTGATGGGCTGTGGCGGTCTTGGTTCTCGAACCACTTTGTAATGCCGTAACGGAAGAGGATGCTCGCGAATTCTCCACCAAGGCTGCATCATGTTTCAAATTGACAAGTCGTTGAGCTTCTGTAATAACGGATTGCAGTGTTATGCGCGGATCACGGTGCAGCATTCCAAGTATTCTGGTTCGGATTTCGACATCTTTTGGGGACTGAAGGCTGCAGTGGAGGATCAAGCACTCAGTTTCAGTTCAAACTTTTGGCATTCCCGTTTCACTGTGGCCACGTGAGCAATGAGACTGTCAGTATCCCGTTTACACAGTTTAAAACACTTACATCGGTTATTAAAAAGTGAGGACTGATCTCCGGATATTTCGCTAAGGCGCGTAACTGTATCGTCAAAGTTCAGGTCGTTTGTACGCTTGGGTAAGATGAAATTGACGTAACTATCGTGTTCAACAGTTCCGAGTTTCCGTAGCAATATGCGGACCTTTGATGTATCGTCAAGGTTGACTAATCTCACCTCCGAGAAGAACTGATCACCTGCTTGATTCCGCCTTGAAAAACACAGAAAGCGAAGGCCACAGTGCAACGTGTATTGATACAAGAACGGGGGAAAGTAGAAGGAAACACACCAAAACGATTGATTTACAGTCGAATACACATGTGGTTAAATAGGACTCCGGAGGCACGAGTGGTGTGGGTTTTTGTGTGAAACACGCGACAGGAACAAAATGTACCACAGCACAAAAACAGTGTTCGGATTGTGGACACGGATTGTTCCGACATAGAACAGGGTTTTGTCTTGTAGAATAACACTATGTTCCACATTTGTGCAGTTACAAAACGTTTCTGGCAATACTCTGGCACCAGTCAAGTTATACTTTCTGGACATTTCGCCACTTGTGTTCGTTATGAGATGCATAGAAAGAAGCATGGTGACAAGCTGAAGTATCTGTTAAAGATGAACTGCTTGCACTTACTACATCATATTCTCAGTATACCTGGTGTGAGGGTGCGTCAGTGGACAATGCTAACTACTGATGTACCTAGTTGGACCAAGCCTTGACTACATTATTCAACATATGACGAAAAAACATTTGGCAGAGTGCCACAACAGATGGGTAACAGCAAAACAAAGCGAAGCAGTCAAGGGAAGAAATACGAAGACTCATGTGTTGTGTGGACAGAAAGCTTCCCGGTTGCACGGGCCAAGGAAGGGTTAAGGTACCCACCCGGAGCCTTTGGCAGCGGGACGATTCACGCATGTTGTTGGAACCTCCAACCAGCTGTTGAATACATCATCATGATTATACATGCTAGCTGGAGGCAGGAAACATTTCAGCTGTTGTGCCGCAATATATAAAAGAAAATAAATGCAACAGTTGCATGCCAACGGAGCTAACAGCAACAAATGGGCATCGTTCCGGAAAGCTACCAGCCGGCTACTAAGGAACAAAAAATATTACTATGTAAAATTATATTATGCCACGATCTGAGATCGTGGTTGGAGGGGAGGCTAAAAGGGATGAGGAGAGACAAAGAAACTCACAGCAAGAACGCGATTGAAATCGGCTCCTAGCCATGTCAGCAAGTGTATCCAGCCAAATGTGTTCATCATCTTTTGGACCCCAACGAGGGAGCCGTGACGCTCCAACCGAGGGCCTTCATTCCTCTCGACCAAGTCATCAATTGGCCACCTCTCCTCTTCTTCTATCCACACCCCGACGAGCAAAGAATGCACGTCGCGGGAGCCGGTGGGCTGGCATGCGTAATACGTGGCCGAGCCATCGGAGTCTGATGAATATGAAGATCGTTGACAACCAGATGGCTCATTCGCCTTCTTAGTATTCCGTAGCAGTCGACACAGGAGCCGGTGGCCAACAAAGTTGTTCATCCGACTCTGTTAGGAACACACCTCTGATTACAGAAGTGAGTGGTCAGTGATCCTACAGGTAATCACATTAGTTTCGACAGCGCTGTACGAGCTCTTGTGGTAGATGATGGAGAAGCAGGTGAACAGCCGAGAACTGCCCACTCTCTGAGAGACACCCGTTAACTGCCCGGAACTGCTTATTCATCTCGCTTGCAAAGCAAACGGGACTTATTCGCAGTTACCACCACAAGGGAGGCATTCCCTAATCCGCAACCTGGGGACGCACCCGATAGCATACCGCTCCGCCACGGTGGTGGGCGGTCAATGTTTCGGCAAGGTGAGAAAGAAGCCGATCGAAAAACTGAGTAGCACCGAAACGTGTTGAGGAGGGGGGCATCGGATCAGCCACGCAAACGGCTGGAAACCCTACAAGATGCGTTATATGCACGACGTCAATGACGTTCGCGCGTTCCGGTTTACTTCTAGCTTTTAATACATCTACCTGATTGTGGCGGTAACGGTCGAGTAAGCAGCAATGAACTCGGAACGACCTTTTGCTTGCGTGCGTCAATAGCCTAAATCGATGACACCCAGTAGATAATTGAGCTGATAGACGAGCTGATAGACAATTGAGCTGAGCGAGAAAAGAGCTCAAGTGGATGCCACTAGAGGAACGATCGGATGAAATTTATCAATTTGTGGGTGGCTCTGATTGCCGCGAGGTATACAATGAGCACGTGTTCGTCTGGACAACAGAATGTTGGTTGAGGGCGATACCAGGATTTTGATTTATGGAGGGTTACTACGACATCGATGATTGTAGTTAGCTAGTTTGTTAGTGCTCGAATACCATCACAACCCATCATACGATTTCTAGATCTCCCAACTTGTAGTTTGGCTGTTCTTGAGTGTCCAATGTACAGATGGATTGCGACAAGAAATATAAAACTGGAACTGTTCGGTGGTGCAGCGGTAACCTCTATGTCCTGAGTTTGACTCCCAGATCGCTAAGCTAGCATCGGATAAAGGTAACAAGTAGGAAACATGTTTTGGAGTACGGAACTAGCAAGCGGTCACACCTAACATTTACCTGTTTCTGACTATAATTTTAAAATAGTCGCTCACATGCCCGGAAAAGCTCTAGACTGCGGTTTCAGCCTGTTGGGCATCATTGATAGCGCGCATCCATCGGATCCATCAGGATTCGAACCCATGACAACCAGCGGCTTGCACTACTGATAATACCCAACAGAATGGAACTGCAGTCTAGTGCTTTTACGGTTATGGGTTCGAGCTCCAGTAGGGGACCGAGGGAATGCGCACCATTGACGTGCCCCAATAGGGCGAAACACGTCTGGTGCTTTTCCGGACTAGGCTGCGCTATGTAGCTTGTAGGCTCCTGGGAGGAAAAACATTAAAATTAAAATCCTCCCACTCATTAGTAAAATAAAATATATTGCCGAAGATTGTCTGATTCACTGAGCACTTGTTAATAGTTATTTACTGATAGCTAGGCAAAAGTGAGTAGGTAGTTTGGTAAGATGCATTTCTACGGATGAGTTTGCTATTAATGTCTTTGGCGGCAGATTGATAACCCAATACTCATATTTACTCCCAGTAAAATTCTAATTTACCTCCTTGGGGGTGAGTACCCCCAGGTTGAGAACCATTGATCTAAAGTCTACGGTCCTATTTACGTAACATTAACTACGTACAGTTGGTTTCACCCTCGGGACGATACCAAATATTGCCGGATCAACATTTGACACTTAATGTGGGCGTAGAAGGTGAACGAAGGCTCGCTTGTGTATGTGGACGGGTGAGGAAGGTTGTACACAAATTGTTCTCGGTCATTCCGTTGGCAAGCACCTGTAAGGGCCCACATGATCTAGGTAGTAAGCGTGCGCCCAATGGCTGACGGCCGCGACAAACACGCACATACACACAGAGAGCATGATGTAGCCACAAACGTAAATTTCACTGATTTGAGAGTCAGAAGTCCACACAATGTAGTTCCGCTGCACACCATGTCATCAGAACAAACGAGCCATTAGGGAACCATTGGATGGTAAGCCCACAAATGGTCAAATTATGGAGGTTGAAGTATTACTGGATGCCATATCCCAAGTTGTCGACATACAACTTACAAAGGTGGTCAACATAAAGTGGTCTGGTTTTATGGGGTTTACATAGTGACTGTTCCACCTATGAAAAAGTGGTCAACATAGAGAGGTGGACAACTTGGAAGGTTCTACTGTATATCAAATGCCCATACTCATGAGTACATTGAAAGATATCCGCCCCAACAGCTACGAAATGCTATACCGCACATAGCTACTGTCAGTGGACGTCGGGTCTTTCCGGACAAACACTGTCCTCCGTAACGTTCGTAACTAAAGAGTAGGATGACGCGCTATATCGCAGTTAGCTTGCATAGCATGACGGTTAGAAGCTGTCCCCCCGTGACCCAGTGGTATAAGCTGCGGGCTTGCGGTGCAAGCCGCTGGTTGTCATGGGTTCAAATCCTGAAGGATGCACACTACTGATGATGCCCAACAGGCTAAAACTGTAGTCCAGAGCTTTTCCGGGCATGTGGATGACTATCTGACTTGGAAATAAATGTGACAATCCGCCATGAATTATAACAAAAGCTCTTACTCACAAGTATGATATTTTAAAAGTATAAGAAATCAGAACAACAGGGACGATCTATGTTTGCTACATAAATGACGAATGAACTGAGGGTTAAACGTGAACGGACTGTATCGTCCTGTGAAGTCTAGTGGAAAAAGTTGCCTTTGGCATACAAAGCACAAGTACACCACACAAGACGTATATACATACACTTAACGAAACTGTGAAGCAACAAAAAAACATCTCACTGTTGGGTTTTAGAGTGTGCGCCATGTGTCTGAATCGCGATATACAAGCACAAGTTGGACTGCGATTTACTCTCACATAAACCTGGATCATTCCGATCATCGATACCGCAGGTGAAATGGAGAATTTCGGTGGTGCTAGCCACCGAACATTACACTCATGACTGGTTGTGTCATGCCTCAATGATCTAGACAAAGATATGCGGAGCTGGAGGTTGAACTTGGAATGTAGCCATCAGCATCTTGACAAAAACAAACCAACCCGTGCTTCGAATCGCAGGTGCGCATCTTAGTATACACATACGGCAAGCACTTTGAAACCAAACAATGCGCTTCTAGCAACGATGCGAAGCGTTGCTCGCGGAACTCAATGATACAGTGAACCAAGTAACGGCCGTTAATTATTGCATCCCTTCTTCCAATCTCGGCGCCGGTAATCTTTATCCGAAGAATTGAAAGTTGAAATAAGTCGAAAAATGTTGAGAGCGAACAGCACGGTCATTAAACCAGAGTGTTATCATTTAAACTGTTGAAGCTTCTCAGTTGCTGCAATTCCGAAACTTGCACTTAATCTATTCCGCACGACCACAAACCCAAACAAAGGAAAAAGTCAGAACGACCTTGCCCAAAATAACGTGTTAACCACAGTCAAACATGAGCTGTACGAAGGTGGCAGACCATGAACATATTTATAGGTCGCTTCGTGACCTTCGACTTCTGAAATTAGGTCAGGCAGCAAGGTTAGTTGTTCCCGAAAAGTTTGGCCGATCTTCCGGAAGGTTAGCGGTCACATGAAGATCTTAGAGCATTTCAAAAGATGCGAAATCGATACGATAATCGTTAACAAGCGAATATTCGCCAAAATAATGGATTTTCCGGGTAATTCTTGATTTCTCCCGGACACACGCAAGCGTGGATGCTTACTTGAAGAAAATGCCGAAGATGAAACCGATTACGCCACTAAAAATAAAACTTGCAATCTAATCTTCATTGTTAGCAGGAACATGAAAGTGATAACTATAACTGAAGAATCAAAACACGGGCTAGAACGATTATCATTTGCGAGCCAAGAGTGCGTGGGCGATTCGTTATTGAAAATTATTCACAGTTACAGGAAATGAAAGAAATATGACCAAGGGAAGTGTAACTTGAACTTACATCACTGGAGAGAATGACAAATGTGGAGGGGTTGAGATGTGATTGAATAAACCGCACGGATGGAACATCGTGAATTTGGGTCGCATACACTACTCGGGAAAGTGAGGTCTCGGCAAAAAGCTCGAGACGATTGTGCCCGTGGATGTCCGATTGTGTGGGAGGGAAGAGCCAGAAACGAAGAAAGAATTGCTTGCAGTCATGTTTGTAGGATATGAGGAAGCGACCACAAACAGAGAAGCCCAGAAACACGTCTTCCAGTGCATGGTGTGGCAATATCTCAAACAAACGGTAGCTTCTAAGGCCCGATTGGTAGTTATCTAGTCGCAAAGCTCGAGCCGTCAACTCTCGAAGATGGATTCCGCGAAATAGATTTGTCATCTGGAATAAAATAACATTTAGCATCACAAACATTTTGAACCATATCAATCTAAGTGAGACTATCATAGTCATCAACGACAACGGTAATACACAGATGCCTGTTGTGAATGCAACATGACATAAGCCCTCTAGCTTTTTTGCTGTTTCACCGATCATATATAATCTTCGCACTTTTGAGTTGTCTCATGAGATACTGAGCTTTGTAGATTGACTACCAGTGGAATCTACACATCAGGTCCCTTGCTGACTGTAGTCATTGTTCTAAATATACAGTGATCCTCGTTTCAAGATCTCGTTGTTCTGCCCATTGAACGCTGACCAAAATAGCAACTGCAGGTCTGAGTAGCAAATGAATTGGGCTTCCCATGTGACTCGCAGTGCAGCGGTTCGGGCGTTTGTCTTGCAACGACTGTGACCCGGGTTCGAGCCCCTGCTAGTGAATGGGTTCGAACGCTCTGGAAGTATCACTGCCCGCATGCAATTGTCGGTGGACGAGCGTCAGCAAATTACTAGCACAATGTACTGGCACACAGTTGACAGTACTACCTTCGAGTGCTTTAGTGACGCAAAACGAATCGCTGGTAAACAGCCGCAACTTAAGACAACCCCATCAATAATGGAGGATGAAGGGGGACAAGACACACTAAGCAAACATTAGCCGTACGTGTAAGCAACGCTTTCAAGCACCGTCACGACCACGAACAGCTGGTCAGTATTTAAAAGTGAGGTAATGTCTTCTAGATAGCCTCATTACGGCTCTCACTGTTCCGAATTATAATCAACCTCAGTTCATTAATAACTCAAAACAGGACACACGTCTAGAAGACAAGAAACGCCACCGATGCAAGTTAAATTCATGTCCAGTAGCGCCAAACAAAGGTTAAGCCTCATCTGGAGAATGAGACGCACTAGTGGTGGGCAACTTAACCTCTTGCTATCAGATCAATAATTACTCTCTCCCCCAGAAACTTAGTATTTACCAGCAAGTAAACTAAACGAGGCAGTAATAGGTGAGTAGAGAAGTCACAGGTCGGTTAGTTTATTAAATATAGGATTGTCACAACTTCTCTCGCGATTTAATTTTTTCAGATTTTTTCTATTTCAAATCGCGTTATTGCCAAAAGGCTGTGGCACGTTGGAGAATGTTTTTGAAGCATTAGCCGGAAGGTATAAAAGGGTACGCGCGCCGTGGGTTAATAAACTGAGAACCAAACTGGATCAGCGCCAATTACGATCGATTATGTTTTATGAATATAAGTTGGAGACCAGTGAAGGAAAACGGTCGATAAGATCAACACCGCGTTCGCGCCAGGCACTACTACCGATCGAACGGTAAGCCATTCGTACAAGCGCTTCGACGAAGGCGATACGAGCTGTTAAGATCAACCTTATATTGGTCGGCCAGTCACCTTTGACGATAAGGTTCTGCGCCACGAACTGGAAATGCACCCGGATGCTAGTACCAGAGATTGGAAGTAGACACTTGGATACCGCCGTAGCCCCATTGCTCGCCATCTAAATGAAATGGGCTAATGTAAATTGGTGTATGTCTGGACGCATACCTCATGCATTGACCGATCACAACCGCGCTGCATGCGTGACCATCTGCGAAAGTATTCTGCTGCGAACGCATAAGCAGGACTTCCTCAAGTCGATCATCACTGAAGATGAGTCCTGGGTCAACTACGAGAACAACACGCGCCACGTCTACTGGCAGCTTCGCGACGAAAATCGGCGAGCTCAACCAAAGCTCGAGTTCCATGCTCGGAAGATTACGCTCTCGGTTTTCTGGGATTGGCAAGGCATGCTGTTTTGGGAACTTCGACAACGAGCGAACAATCAAGGTCTGCGTCTACGGAGAGCAACTCCGGAAGTTGTCCGCAGCAGTGCGAGAGAAGAGTTCGAAACGACTCAGCGTCGCCCTGCTCTAGGATAATCCTCGACCTCATATTGCAAAATCGACTCGCCACATTTCGGAAAAACTGGGCTGGACCACGGTACCACATCCATCGCATAGTCCTGATATTGCTCATTAGATCAACATCTTTTCCGCGCCATGAAGCAGCATCTGCGAGAAAAAAGTAAAGACTACAACCAGCGCAAAAGTGATCGCGCCAAGTTCTTTGATCGCCAGCCTCATTCTTTCGGGGAAGAAGGCATCCAATGTCTATCCAGTAAATGGTTACACATCATTGATCATGAAAGGGATTATATTGTTGACTAATTGAGGTGTAAAAATAAATAATAATGGAATTAATAAGTGTCGAAATGTGAAGGAAACTATGGGACGACCCAGTAGAATCCGCGGGCCGAGGCATGATGAATTACTTTGTCTTGAATCAAGATGCCAAATATGAACTATATCTAAAAGCATAATTTGATAGGAATGAGTAGGAATTACATCGGCTAGAAACGGCACCAAAGGACCATAAACAAGGAAACGAAAGCCAGAGCATCACCAACTTCCTGATTATGTGGTATTCGACAGAATATCTAACCAGTGATGTAGTTGGTCCCGAAGTCACCACGTAGGAAGAGAGTAAGCAATAACATTTCTAAGCTTTCTGGTGAACCTCTTCAAGCCTACTTAACCATATCGGTGGCTAAATATCGCGTATTGTCTCGCTAATACCAAGTCTCCTGCTACCTGTATCAGACGGAATAATTTACGATGATTACCCACGGCAGCGGCTGTTTTCATTTCCGATGCACGATGAGACCACCAGGCTTCGCAGTCTCTCCTCAGGCTAGCACGCAGTTTTGCCCTGAAATCTTGGAGGTTGCGTTGTATTCGCATCAAGCCGGAATACGTGAGCGACCATCCATAAGTTCCAGGGACTTTGTAGTGACCCAATGCCTAGGTTGGCAATTTGATTTGCTACATGAAGATATGCCTGTTGCTATTAACGTTTGGCGAATCGGTAACCAGTGATCTTTGACGGTGCTCAGTGGGCGCTTACTCAGCCCGGATGCCAGCATACTCTGATACACATTCCGAACACCTGGCTTCGCCAGTTGGCTGGTGTCTATGCGCGCACAGCGACGTTGCAGACGTCCGCCGAAACGCACCCGTAGGTCGACACACACAAGAGCGTGATCGGAGTCCACGCTGTTGATCCAAATCAAGCGACAATTTTGGACACAGTCTCTCCAGCGGTAACTAATCGTGATGTTATCGATTTGCGTCCATGGCTGGTTGGCGCCAAGTCACTCTTCTACGGGTGCTGTGTCGAAAGTTATTGCTCGCGAGAAAGAGACGAGCAGTTTCACACAAGTGTGGCAACCACTCACCGTCTCCATTACGGGAGCCTACACCATGTTGGCCGCCAAGATGAAGAACATCAGAGGACCATTTTGCTACTTGGGCGTTTAGATCATCAGCTAGCACCATATTGTCCGTGCTTCTTCTGTAACGAAGTTCTTTAAGTTGGTGGTAGAAATCATCTTTCACCGAATCAGGGCCACAATTTGTGGAGGCGTAGACCGCAATGACAAACAGGCACCGTTTATCCCCAAGCGACTTCAAAGCCAGGAACGAGTCAGCTAATCTAACGGTGCACATCCGGCTGCTGACTGGGATCCAGTCAATCAGAGCAGTTTCAACCCGGGGACTCAAAACAATGCAGTCGACAAGACGACTCTTGAAAAACTGTGCGACGGCTGATGCAAAATGCGGTTGAAGTTTGAGAAAACAATCACGGTCATACGTGGGCTGAGATAATTCCATGATGATTGACTCCATCACTTTGGAGACAGTAGAGAGGAGAGTTATCGGTCAGAAATTGACGGGGTCTTTACGTGCACCGCCCTTGTAGATTGGCGTAATGGTACCGCATTTCCAATCGTTGGGGACTATACAATGCGAGAAATGAGTGGACAGTTCCGCCAGAGGTAAAGCTAGAGCTGTAGCGCAGGTTCGCAAGAGCATTGGGTAGAAACCGACGGCGCCTGTGCAGGCTGTTGATTGCAGGGATTTGAGTTTTGCCAGGACCTGCTCCGGAGTGAACTAAACCGTTGTCAGGAACGTTTAGAGTGAGATCGAAGAAGAAGCAGTCATTGTAGGGACTGATGGAACAGAGAATGCAGATGTGTACGGTTGACAAAAGAATTCTACGGCCTCGCTCGCTGATTTTGTGAGCCCTGTGGAAGTTGTCATCGCAGTGACACTGTGTTTGACATGTACGGTTACATGAGAAAATGGGGGATAGATGCTTCAGTAAGCAATTCTAATGGTCGATCAGTCAGTCGAAAGAGAACATGCGGTGTCAAAGCAGGAAGCGAGAATAAAGAGGGCACGCGAACTAAGTCGAGGTAGTATATATATATATATATATAATACACAATCTTTGGTACAGATATTGTGCCATCGGAATCATGACTGAATAGGAAAACAGTATGAATAATAAGAAAAGAACAACAACAAAAGCTTTTTTGTCCAGTTTACCACTCAGTTTTTAAATTTTTTCAGTTTGTTTTTTATGGGAAGGAAGGAGGGACACCGCAACACACCGATGCACACGTCCGTCATTGACATCGATCTTGAGCCATGGCTTCTAAGGCCTTCAACCAGCAAGTATCCGCATCCCTCGGAGCCCAACCAGGTAGTCGATAACAACCGGCCGAGGCCAACTGTTTCGTCAACTCGAAGTAGTAGAGCAAGATAGGACCGCGACAAAAGACTCGAAATGCTGAATACAGCAGATGAACATTACGAATAAGAAAATCAGCACTCAAAATTAAAATTGTCTACCAAATCAGCGACTGAGAAGTCTATCCCGCTGTATCCAAGCCTGCCTGTCAGGTTATTTCCTGAGAAATGGTTTGGTGCAACACAAGCAATGCAGGAGACAAGATTACAAGCCCAGAACAAATCAAATCGTAGCGTTGTCCGCTGGCACGTCCGATGGCAGCGTCTAATAGTTCAATTTCAAGTGGAGCCGGAACAGTAGGAAGATGCCGCGAATGTACAACCTTCGAAAGTCGCTGAGCCAATAGAAAATGCGGTGAA